AGAGAGAATGAGAGACAGAGAGCATGAGAGGGAGGAAGGCCAGAGGGAGAAGCAGACTCCCTGCTGAGCAGGGAGCCCGATGCGGGACTCGATCCCGAGACTCCAGGATCATGACCTGAGCCGAAGGCAGTCGCTTAACCAACTGAGCCACCCAGGTGCCCCATACACGGGTTTTTAATCGAAGAGAGAAAGCTCAATAAGTAAACCCAATTAGCACAGGACCCAAGATGATGGGTCTCCGGGGCGCTGACTGCCCAGTGCCCCCGAGATGTCTCCGAGGACCCCGGGGTAGTGTTGTTGCACCACCCAGACAGCTGCCTCACTGAGCCCACAGCTGCGGCTCACAAGGACCACACCAATCCCAAAGCCACTGGGTCGAAGGACAGTGGCCCGCCTTCACTTTTCGTGAGCCGCAAACCCCCAAGCAGACCGCACACGGCATGTACCTGCCGGTCCCGGCCCCAGGAGGGGAGGGGGCTTCCGCAGATGCCCCCTTGCCCTAACCCTGCCTCCATTTCACCTGAACGTTGCCCTGGGCTTCGTGCAGGCAGTGCAGCGCGAGCTCCAGGTTGGTGCCCCCTCCCGGCATCACGCTGGAGCAGGCCACGTTGCAGAGCTCAGTCACTGTTTCCGGCAGCAAGCCGTCCCAGCACAGGGGGAGAGAGGAGACACAAGGAGTCAGCGAGCTCCAGGGAGGAGACTTCCCTGACAGCACTGAGAGGGGGCTCCTTGTCACCGGCCTCCTCACGTCTCAGCTGAAAGCGGGATGAGAGAAGGGAGAGACAAGGAGGAAGGGCGCAAACCCTGCTCCTGGCACTTGCTCTGAGCAGCCTGGCCGGGCTTGCGTGAGAAGGCAGCTGGGGGCAGGGGAGTGCAGCTCAAGAGAAGCCACACAGCACCAAGGGCGAGCCTTCCCCACCCCCTCACCCCAGGGTACTGCTTCTCAGCCGAGGGGAGTGCGGTGGGGGGGGGGGTGGCGGCAGGGCCCTCGGGAATTTGGCCCCAAAGTCTCAGCCACCTCTGTCCTGCGTTTCTTGGTTGGTCATCACATCTCCCCATGGCTTCCAGACCAGAGAAGCGATGTGCTCATCAACTCCAGCCAGCGATCTCTCCTGGAGCTCTGGGATCTCAGCCTGGAACCGGCTTCCTATGTTGATGTGTCTGAAACGAGGCCACACACACAGACGCGTGAGACATACACATGTGACCAAGATGGGAAATGGAACAGAGACGGGCGGTGTGCCCTGCTCTCCGGCTGCAGCCCTGCCCAGTGCAAACCCTCTGCCATCTGCCAGACGTGTTCAGCGTCCATCATCCCTGAGAGATATGTGCAGGCATTCCAGAAACCTCTCAAGGGGGGATTTCCTTCCTTCCTCTGATTTTCCTTATTGCCGTACCTCTGGCCTCAGGAGTCGCTTTGGGTCTAGGGCAGGGGAGGTATACGCTTACAGCCGGCATGCTTCTACACCCATGGCCATACCGATCTAGCCACATTCCACGGACACTCAAAAGTCTCACATGGTGGTACCACCACCACTTCTACCTAGGACCCCAGGGTCCTGGGCATTCTGTCCCCCTGGACCCAGCTATGGTATCTCTGGACAGAAAGAATACTGAGGGAGTTTCCCACATACACACGTAGAAGTGCACCACTTCTCTCTTAGGGAGGCTCCGTAGCTAGACCAGATCCCCTATGATGAAGGAGCCCCCGGGAAAAACGGACACTGGCCCGCAGGGAGGGTAAAAGCACCCCCACTTTGGAAGGACCCACCCTCAGGTGCTAAATCTGTTCCAACTTACGGTTCAATGCTGATCTTGGTGTCATCCTTTACCATGCAAATGCCGAAAGAGCCATCCACTTGATCTAAAAAACATACAACAACAAAAAGTCTCAAGAAGACTGACCGTAAGTGATCCGGGGGGCCCCTTCTGCCTGCCTTTGCAGAGCAGCTAAAAGCAGGCTCTTTAAAACCGCATGGTAGGGAGATTACTCAAAAAATTAGAAGTAGAACTACCATAAGATCCAGCAATCCCACTTCTGGGTATTTTTTTTTTTAAGATTTTATTTTTTTTTTGACAGAGAGATAGAGCCAGATAGCAAAAGCAGGGGGAATAGCAGAGGGAGAGGGAGAAGCAGGTTCCCCACTGAGCAGGGAGCCCCAAGTGGGGCTCGATCCCAGGACCCTGGGGTCATGACCTGAGTCAAAGGCAGACGCTTAACCAACTGAGCCACCCAGGTGCCCCCCCACTTCTGGGTATTTATACAAAAGAACTGAAATCAATCTCTCAGGGATATCTACACTTCCATATTTACTCAGCATTATTCACAACAGCCAAGTGGAAACAACCTAATGTCCATCAGCAGAGTAGTGGGTAAGGAAAATGTGGTATTTACATACAATGGAATACTAGCTAACCTTTTTTTTTTTTTAAAGGAACCTTCAATATGCAACAACATGAATAAACCTTGAGAACATCATGCCAAGTGGAACAAGCCAGTCACAGCGAAGGAAATACTACGTGACTCTGCTTATGTAAGTATCTAGAATAGTCCACTCCAGGGGCGCGTGTGTGGCTCAGTTGTTTGTGTCCGACTCTTGGTTTCGGCTTGGGTCATGATCTTGGGGTCCTGGGATCAAGCCCCACATCAGGTTCTGCACTCGGCACGGGGCCTGCTGGAGATTCTCTCCCTCTCCTTCTCTCTCTGCCCCTTCCCCCCACCTGCATGCATGCTCACTCTCTCGCTCTCAAAATAAATAAAAATCTTAAGAAAATAGTCCAATTCACATAATCAAAAGTGGAATGGTGGTTGCCAAGGGCTGGGGTAGTGGGACGTGCGTATTTACTAATTTTTTTTCTTTTTTTTTTAAAGATTTTATTTATTCATTTGAGACACAGAGAGAGAGAGCATGAGCAGGGGGGGAGACAGAGGGAGAGGGAGAAGCAGGCTCCCTGCTGAGCCAGGAGCCCGACGTGGGGCTCGATCCCAGGACCCTGGGATCATGACCTGAGCCGAAGGCAGACGCTTAACCATCTGAGCCACCCAGGCGCCCTGTGTATTTACTAATTAATGAGCATAAAGTGTCAGTTAAGCCAGATGAATAAGCTCTAGAGCTCCACTGTACAATGTGGTACCTGTAATCAACAATGATGTACTGCATACTTACTCATTTAAGGGAGACTCATGTTAACTTCTTATCATGATAAAACACAATTTTATTAAAAAAGATTTATTTACTTGAGAGAGAGAGGCAGGGGAGAGGGGCAGAGGGAGATGGAGAGAGAGTAACCTAAGCAGACTTGGTGCTGAGCATGGAGCCTCATGTGGGGCCCGATCTCACAACCCTGAAATCATGACCTGAGCTGAAACCAAGAGGTGGTCACTCAACTGACCGTACCACCCAGGTGCCCTGATAACACACAATTAAAAAAAAAAAAGGATTTCATGGAGGGATTGAACTTCTAAAAAGCAGAATAAGGAACTCAGCAAGACAACAAATTAACTGATAAAAATTATTTTTAAAAACAGTAAGTTAAAGTCTCTGGAAGTTGTCCTAAAGGCATACAGCATTTTAGAAAATACTATTTAAGGGATGCCTGGGTGGCTCAGTTGTTAAGCGTCTGCCTTCGGCTCGGGTCATGATCCCAGGGTCCTGGGATCGAGCCCCGCATCGGGCTCCCTGCTCAGCGGG